TGCAGTAAATATACTCAATACTTGAATGCCTGACATCACGTAACCCGCTCAGGGTAACCTTTGACCCACCTTGTGTGGACTGACCAATGAGGAGAGAGTCTTAACTTGAGGCCTTCTCTTCATTGGTCATTCTGCATGAGACTGACTCTCAACTGACGTTCAGTCATAGGCAGTGAAGCGTCTCTGTGCAGCACAAAAGCCCGGGTGGACAGTTTGTTTAATACAGGGTGATCATATTTCCATTCCCAAACAAGAGGACAGGGGATCTGTGCCTATGACGTCACACTATGGCAACGCCACACAAACCATGTTGGGACCCATTTTTTGTAAGAACTAAATTAATATCAGATTCTGCCAATAAAAAGGCTCTAAAACAATTCATATGTGAATATTTAGCATATTTACTGCAAAATCTAATTTTTCTGCTTTAGTGCTGCAACAAGGTTTTATTAATAATAAATTATAACTTTTGTTTTACTACAGCATTGGTAAGCTTCCTGTGCACAGATTATTAAGGATGCTTGTTTCAGCTGTGAGATTAGACGATAGGATCAATGAAAAAATAAGTTGTCACACACTCCATGGAAACTTTCAGAGAATCCACAAATAGTGGCTTTCAGATGGTTTTGTTACTGTTTGCAAGTTTAGAAAAGCAGCAGATGAGACAGCATGTCTGATAATTTAGTTTTTCATCTGATAATATTAGAACATGTCAGTAATGTCTGAGGGGCTTTTATAAACACCATATAACTAACACTACTGGAGAGGGCATGAATTACACAGAGGCTTCTGGGGAGCCCAGTTATGGAGGTGGGGTGGTGGTGGTGTGTGTGTGTGTGTGTGTGTAGGGGGGGGGGGGGGGGGGGGGTCATTTTGCCTTGGCCCCCAAAATGTCTTGAAACGGCCCTGGGTGTGTGACTGAGTTTTGAAGGTGATCTGAATTGTATCAGATGTATAAATACTACATGTGTGTAACTTATTGTTTTATACAGGTAAAAACGTGTAGTGGAGATAAATCTACCTACATTTTACTTTTTCACACTTTGTTTTGTTTTCTTGTTTTTATTTAACTATTTCCTGTCCTGTCTGTCTCTCATCTTCCTGCATCTCCTCTAAACTCTCCAGAAAATCTGCTGCCTGGATTCTTACTTTTTCACCTCATCAGTTACTTCTGAGCAGATCAAAGGGATCTCCTGACCGCAAAGCGGAGAGCGCGTTTCGATGCGTCAGTGAGGTGAAATCACCGCAGCACAGGTGATGAGCTCCGCAGTAGCAGAGCGCTTCAGGCACAAATAAGACAGAAAGTAGAGAACATGTGCGGACAAGAACGATCGTGTGCTAATTATAGTTTTTTGGTTGCGCCACTTTGAGAATGGACCGTGCGCTGCACGCAACAGCCTGGAGCACTGCGCACCGATCATCGCTCTGCCGCTCTCTGCTGAAAAGAGTCCATAAATGATAATATAGTAATATAGGTAGAAAACTTTTTTCCGGCTGCCCTGGATGTGTAGGATATACAGCTCCCCATCCCTGTTCCTGGATGAAAAGCCGGACATTTTCATCAATACAAGAACCCGGACATCCCGGACAGAGTGAAAAGCGGACATGTCTGGGGAAAACAGGACGTACGGTCACACTAGTTTAATATAAAGCGGGAGATTACAGATACAGTAATTTGCTCGTGCCCTTGCCGCCCTGGGCCCTTTAGAGTTTGTGGGCCCTGGGCAATTGCCCAGTTGCCCATATGGTTAATCTGGCCTTGCATGAGGCCACCACAGCTCAGCAGAACGTCGTCGTAGCTTCTTCTGGGGAGAAAAACACTTACAAGCAGAAGACTTGTTCCCTCTGGAATTACCATTTACGAATGCATTAGTGTGGTCGAGAGTTGTACAAGATGGTAAATACCACACATTCATGTTTTCAAGTCTATTTATATAGCGCCAAATCACAACAAGAGTTGTCTCAAGGCACTTCACATAGTAAACATTCCAATACCGGTCAGTGTGTAAGTACAGCTGATAAATGAGGGCCCAGAACTTTCTTTTTGTCTGGCAGATTCTGGACATCCATTACCTAATGACAATAAAAATACCAGAGTGAATAGGGTGTGTATGTGTGAGCATGAGGGAGGGAGTGTGTGACTGTGTCTGTGTATGACTGTATATGTCAGGTGGGGCCTTTGACTCCCCCATCTCATGAGACTTTTTTCGATGCTATACATCTTCGGCTCCCCTCCCCCTGCCACACCTGGTGTGAGGTGCGGTGCCCCCGGCGGAGCTGGTCGCCCCTGGGTCCCGCGCTCGGTCGGCTTGGAGGCTGCGGGCGGGCCTGTGGGCTTGTCGCTGATATCTCCCGGGACTCTGCCGGCTGCTGGTTGTGGCTCCCCGGGGAGATCCTCTGCACCTCTCGAGGGGGGCGGGGGCCTTTCTGGTCGCAGTCTCCTTGGAGTTCCTGTGCTCTGGGGCAGCTCTTGCATCTCTGGGACTTGGAGCTCCTTCCATCTCCTACGCATCTTTAGGGGGCAGATCTGTAGCCCCTCACACTCTCTATTGGATGCTCCTATAGAGAAACCTTACATAAACAAGCGCGTGTACACACACAGGTGCTCTCATGATGCTCTCATAAGTATGGACTTGGGCACGTTCAACACATGTCTTAAGGCTGTGGTGGGCACTTAATGCACTGTGATTTATTATCGTGTGATTGTTCAGTTAAACAATGTTGATTATATATTTCCTCATCAGGCTGACGCGGTGATAGCTTGCTCCTGATGTATTGTTGCGTGTCCCTTTTTTTCTGCTCTTTCTCTTTCTGCAGGTCTAGAAGCAGACTCTTGTTCATCACTGATTTTTTTATTTTTGTGGACCCCCCCCCCCCCCCCCCTCCTCCTTTTGTCTTTTCCTTTCTCTTTCACCTCTGTCTCCGTGTCTGGTCGGAATTACAAAGCATTCAAAGACAATAACAATAAAGTTTTAAGTATCAGGCGTGACATTAAGAGCAGAAGCTTTGATGCTCCACCTGAGAGTAAATCTGTAAGGCTTGTCATCTGCATTCAGACATCAATTCTGTTTGCTGCACAGCCAGACGGGACACCGGGAAAAATAAATAAATAATAAGTCATTTATTTTTAAATTGCAAGTAAATTTTACCACAAACAACTGTAACATTTTAATGTCAGCACCAAGAAAAGTAAAGGCAATGACAAGGGCTTTGCATTTCCCCTTTCAGATGATTTTAGAGTATAGTTATATAAGAACTAGGGGTAGGACTTGATTTTAAAAATGAATCTATTTATCTAGAGTCTTTGTCATTAATTAATCTAATTTAATCACATTTTAATTGTTCAGGAAAATGTACCCTCAATGCACTTTTTAAATAAAAAATAAGGAGGCAGAGAATCAAACATTAGACATGGATATTATTACTGTAAACTCAAGTTATTTTAGTTTCTAAAAAAGTGCATTTTAATTATTCAAATGTCCCTTTGTGATGTGAAACAAGACCCAAATCAACAAAAATGTATTATTGCAAATAGAAAACAGCTGAAGCTGGTTCCTGAGCCTTTAAATGGTGTTTAGTGTATTTACTGAAATAACTTTTTCAGTTAGTTCACTTGTTTGTATAATTGGATGTTTTTATTAGCATGTGTATTTCTGTTAATGCAGTAAAAGCATACCTGTAAATAGAAATCATTTAAAATGATCAGGAACACTAACTGGTTCCAGTTGGATGACTGGAGGATGATGGGAAGATAAAAGATCATGACGAGGATTTAATGATCTGACGCCTGAGCTGTGAACAGGTGAGCGGACCTTTCTGGCATGGGAAGTCCCGCTGTCGCATTAAAAAGGTGATGGCTGCAGACCTGCAGATTCATGCAGCAGCAGCGAGTCTGGTGTGATCTCCAGCATGATCACACCTTTCTGGTTCCTCGCCTCCCCTGATGTGCTGCTTAAACATCCGCCGCTTTAGCTCCCGATCAGCTGATGTCTGACCACTTCAACACCTTTCTGCGATGTTGAAACTGTCGCTATTCTCACAAAAATCTAATTAACTGGCGTAATTTTTTAAATCTCTCTGATAGTTTTCTAGAGTGTTTCTGTTGCTTTAAGACCCGTTGTTTGTGACTGTTTACGGAGTAGTGAGGACACGGAGCATTTTCCTCTCAATACTTTTATAAACTTCTGCTAAGAGCAAAGCGTCATTCTGTCTGGTGCTTTCAGCGCTGCACAGATGTCACATGAATGTTAAAAATACAGCTTTCCTCGACTTTTGTAAAGCTGTCTGTGCCGGTTGGTGACTGCAGTAGCAACAGAGATCCGAGGCGATCTCTGAAAATTGTCGGCGTCGTGGAGTCCGTAGTTTTCAGGAAGTTTATTTTATTTTTACAAGTTAAGAGAAGAGGCTGACGAGTTTTCCCAAATACTGCAGCAGTCCAAGCCAGCCAATTCCTTCAAATGATCCCCTTTTAGTAACCGTTAGCAGAGCACTGTGCATTGTTGTGTGCTTCAGTGATATCCGGCCTACCAGGAAATCGTGCAATGACAAAGGTTCCACCTTGCCTGAAATGCAATCTCTGATTAAATGCATGAATGCTTTTAACGCATCATTTTTTCTAATTAATTATTCATAATTAATGTGTAACAGTTCCACCCCTAATAAGGACAAAATGTTCTCAAAGGGTTTGTGTCCCATAGAGTTTTAATTGATATTGTTTTTATTAAATGTTTGTTTTAAAATCCTATCAACATGCTAGTCGGGAAACTTCCCAATCTGCACACCATTCCTCCAGTTGTGTCATCACATTGGGAACATCAATAGCATTTTTAGCCTTTAGGGTTGCAAAACTATTATCTCAGTGTCACTGCTAGTGGCTGTTTCCATGGCCACAATAGAGACAACACTCTTACATTGTATCATCCCATTTGATTTTCACTGAAAACTAAATGTTGCTCTGCAACACCACACAAACTGACCTTTGTTCTGCTGTTTTTGATCAGTATGATTCTGAAGACGAGGAGGGAGATGTGGACCTGGCTGTCAATCCAAATGGGGGCCCTCAGGACCAAACCAGCTTCCAGACTTACATCCCTGAGGACTTTGCTAACTTTGACATCTACAACGCCACCCTGGAGAACCGGGACAGGTTCTGCTCGGACCTGAGGGGAATCCGGTGTGGAGGCGTGAGCGGAGAAATGGAGGTGTCCCGGAGTCCTACGCCCAGCAGCAGCACCAGCGGCTACTTTTCACACAGTGCATCCAATGCCACACTTTCAGACATCCCTTTTGGTGCCAGTGAGAGCTCAGAACACCTGAACTGCACCTCCAGAGAGTTCCTCAACCCAGGGAGAAGCAGCACTCAGACCAAAAATATTCCAGCTGAGAGCGGCACACAGCAGCCACCCATTACAGCTCACAGCTGGCTCGTCCCTTCAGCCTCCTCACCCGTCAGTATTTCTAACTGCTCAGATAAACAACGCTCACATCCTCACAACTGTGTCCTCAGCACCAGCCAAGAGTACACTGACTTTAAAGGTGCTAATGGCATCAATGGTGAAGTTGATTTAGCACACTTTACAGAAGGATCTGAACAGGAAGATTTGAGAATCCCTTCAAACCAGAAGAAACCGGATAACATAGAGTCATGTGACACTGACAGTCAGCTTCCCTCTAATGTTTCTAATGAGACATTCAATCCTGAAAATGTAACATGCAGATGTCCTGGATCTGAACTTTCTTTTAGTGTAACTGTGTCATGCATGAACACAACCCTTCCCTGCACTTTAGTCAAAGCCCCAATCTATGCGCCTGACCCCTCCCTGTCTGCCGTCAGACCTCTACCCACAGCTACTGCCCCCAGAGCAGGTGGAGAACCTCCGATCCAGGAGCCGGCCCAGGGTGATCTACCACACGGTAGTCCCTGCCCCAGTCCTAACTCCAGCAGTACCGATCCATCCGGAGACTCCAGTGGGGATGAGAGCTCCCCAGTGCCTCAGCTTCCAGACTGGATGGCACCTGGAGAACAAGTGTGGGTGGGGAAGAGGAGAGGGACCGTCTATTACGTGGGAGGGGTGGAGTTTGCAAAGGGGATTTGGATCGGTGTGAAGCTAGACATGGCAGTGGGTAAGTTAAATTTAACTAGTTATTTACTGAATGAAATTCTTCATTTTGCCGAAACCTTGCAGAATAAAACTGCATTACTTCTGCCGTTAGCTAATGATCCAACCTACATGTTCCGTTAGCATATGAGAGGTGAGGTCAGGTCAGAAGACTTAAGTGGTTTTTGTAGACCAAACACTCACGACAGGATCACCCAACATGCATCATTTATGTCTCTTTCACACGCTACCGTAACTCAGGGTGCTTAAACAGGCTTAACAAGAAAACTAAATTTACAACTAGATACAAAAGTTTACAAAAAATTATAATAAAACTTGCTGATTTGTTTATTCTGAGTCAACATGGAAAAAAACCTCAACATGACCTTCCATCAAATAAGCAGTGTTGGGAACGTTACTTTAAAAAAGTAATTAGTTATAGTTACTGATTACTTTGTCAAAAAAGTAACTCAGTTACTAACTGAGTTACAAGATCATAAAAGTAACTAATTACTAACAAAAGTAACTACTTAGTTACTTTTTTTATTAAAGAATGCAAGAATTACTACAATAGTAAAATATAAATGACTAATGACTGAACATAATAAAATGTATGTCCAAATGTTTTATATAAACCTGAATAATTTAAACAAATAAGCACTTAACAGGAGGAACTACTAACAGGAACATTACACTAATGTATGAAAAGGTCACTGTGTGATATTAACAAAAACCCAATCAGCTAAAATTTAAAATTGCAAATAGAAACACCTGTAAAGGTTCCCGAGCCTTTAAATGGTCTCTCAGTCTAGTTAAATTACAGAAATAAATGTAATTTGCACAGTATTCTAATTTTACAGCTTCACATAATTGTGTGTTTTAGCAGCATTTCTGTTGCTGGTAATCTAGTAATGGTTAAATAAATAAATAAATATCCTTTAAAATGACACTAGAAGAGGCACAGATCTGATGGAGGACTTACATTTACTAACGTGGTCAGACCCAACCAGACGTCTGAGCGGTGAACAGGTGAGCGGACCTTCGGGACGTCCCGCTGTCATGCTAAGGGCACGGCTGCAGACCGCAAATTCGCTGCTGCAGCAACAAATCTGCGGGTCTGCAGCCGTACATATTCATCACGTCTCCTCGTTCTCACGGGCCATGATGCTCTTAAACATCTGCCTCTTAGCTCCTGATCAGCTGACGACAGCTTCAACACACTGCACTGCTTAACGCACGCATTTTCTTATCAGTAACAGAAACGACGTTTTGATACAAGAAGACGGAAATTAATTAGTTTGCTTGTTACAGAAAGAAATATTTTTTATTAACGCGGTTATTTAAAACGGAGTTATTCCCGTTGTGTCTACAGAATGCGGTGACTGAGACCGTGAGGGTCTCCGCCCACCCGGCCATCATCATCGAGTTTGTAAGTGTGTTATCGACACCTCTCTCTCCTGGCTGCAGCTGAAGGTGGCGGTCAGAAAGCCTCACGCTGCTGCTCAACGTTCGACAAGCACATAGTAACGCACAGCGTTCCGTCCCCAGTAACGGTAACGGCGTTGCAACGGCGGGAAAAGTAATTAATTAGATTATTCCGTTACCTATAAAAGAACGCCGTTAGAAACGCCGTTATACTTAAACGGCGTTACTCCCAACACTGCAAATAAGATAAGATAAAATAAAAGATTTTTTATTTATTGATTTTATTGATTATTAAAGACTTCATAGTTTACATGTTAGAACATAAGAGAAAGCATTTATTCAATTCAATTCAATTCAAGTTTATTTATATAGCGCCAAATCACGACAAGAGTCGTCTCAATGCACTTCACATAATAAACATTCCAATTCAGGTCAGTCATTAAGCCAATCAGAAATAATGTTTCCTATATAAGGAACCCAGCAAATTGCATTAAGTCACTGACTAGTGTCAGTGACTATACAGCAATTCTCATACCAAG